TTTTTCCCAGAAATTTTGCTAGTTTTAGACTGAGAAAAAGGAAATATTGCATCTGCAGAGGATCTGTTGAATTGTATAAGAACATTTTAGTGTAACACGGAACATCATTTGTTGGCTAAATTTTGTAATTGGGTTCTTTGCATGTTAGTAATATTATAACCGACAAACTTAGGGAGTGAGAAGGTGTGGGGAACTACAAGATTGATTTTTTTTCTTCTTTTTTCCCCTTAATAGCACAAAATCAACTAGGTTGGACATAAATAATGATTATCTTTCTTATTCACTGAGCAGTGAACCATTATTTCATGGTTTATTTTGTGTCTGCTTTTAGAAATGTATAATACATGCTCCTCCTCTCTCTGATATGGATCAGATTGGTAAAGTTGGTAAAGTTCAAAAAAAAATTAAAATTTTAATTTATTTTATTAAAATAGCATACTTAAAGTTAATAAATTTGATAAAATTAAATATTTGATATAAAATAAATATTAAATATTTAGAAATATGATATATAATAAATATATAAAATTATATGTTTTGCACATGTCCCCAACATATCGTGCCCTGCATCTTTTAAAAATTTGTGTGTCCGTGTGTCTGTGTCGTGTCACATATCCGTGTCCGTACTTCTTAACTAATAAGAGATAAATAATAGGGTAAATTATGTAGACCTCCCTCAAGTAAAAAGAAATATAGATAGCTTCATAGTCTTGGCATGATTACACTGTACATACCTCAAAATTTAAATTCATTTAACACTTTAACACGTACAGTTTGTTAATCTCATGGATGGAAAATAGTGGCCATCACGTTTATACTAAAATATCTATCATACCCTTAAACGTAGATAATTACTTATATCCAAGCACCAGTATTCCTTAATTGAATCACATTTTTCTAAAAGGAATCACACTCCATCTTCTCACTCTCTCTCTCCCCCCCTGCTCCCTTGCAACCCAATCTATCTCAGCCACCCCACAACCTAACTCTCCTTCATCACTGAAGGTAGATTACCTTCAGCATAACTACGTCTGCTAATGTTTGCTAAGGTCCCTCAAGTAACTCTCCCTCATAACTGCTAATAGTTAGGTTGACAACGTCTTCAGCATCTACTCAAACGTAGATTACCTTCAGTACTACAAGTAATTCTATTTAGATGAACTGTCCCTTGGAATATTTCGAGTGTATCTTAAACTTTAATAACTTTTTGAAATGCATATTCAATTTTAATTACTGCCATTTACTAGACAAGAAATATTTAGATGAACTTGCTACTATTTGATTTCTTGTAGTACTGCCATTTACTTTTTGATTAGTTACATTGTCTATCACACTGTTGGGCTAT